CAGAAAGAGCAATTAATGTCAACCCAGGAAACAACAGTGATGCTGGATCTTTGCAATTTGCACTCAGGTAAAGAAAAGGAGGAATTAAATAAGAAAAACTTTTAGGTGTAACAAATCCCTTGGGAGTTAGTAGAATTACAGATTTCTTATTTAAAATGGAACCCATATTGTAACCTTGTGATAGAAAGGCCGCTGGTTTTATCCCTATTTCGTTGGTTAAGAAATGAACTTCTATTTATTAAAGCAAAACTAGGAAAAGCTGAGATTGCTTAGACTTTTGCTTCTTTCTCTTTTAAAATCATTCCAAAGGGATGCAGTTAGCTGGACTCTGTTGTCATGATAGCCCACTCATCGAAATTGTTTTCCCATATGTCCAATTACTCTAACTTACCAGAGGGATATACACTGAAAACTCCTTTGGATTTTTATAAGCTGCAGGAAGAGAGTGAACACCACGGGTGTTAATTTGCTAATCAAAGCTCCTGCTCCAAATGATGTCAGTAGGGTGTTTATTTATAACAAATCTTTTCTTGTTTGTGTAGCAAATTGGTCTTGTTGAGGGAACTGCCTTGCTCTATCAAGCCAATCTAAGAAATTATCTTTGGCTGCACCTACACTGGTTAGAAGGATCCAGTGGCCAAGGGAATAAGGGTCAGGCCTGGAGAATGGGGTCTTCATGAGTCCTTGATGAAGAAAAATCTATAATACTGGAACGTATTTTGCAAGCCTTTAAGTCTCAGAGGGCAGTGGACCGGTTAAAGATTTTCAGTTGTGGCCAGAAAAATAAATAATGGAAACTAGAGCTGTCAGAATGGAGATGACTTAGAGAGAAACTCAAGCTAAGTTAGAAAATAACTTCCTGAGTTTATTCCCCATAAAAAAAGACAAAAACAAAAACTGTATGTGACAAGGTAGATAAAAACACCTTGAAAATCTGATTAAAATATTACAAATTTAAGTTTGTAAAAAGCTTAGGAAACATGAAGGACTTGAACTAACCAACATTACAGTTTTCAGACTTCCAGGAAATGAAATATTAAAATTTTAGATGTTTAAAGAAAGGCTTATGTAAGATACAAATGCCACCCAGATAGTATGAAACTAATTTACATCTTATATCCTTGATCTTTTACCTTTACCTGCTATAATAAAATGAAAAATAAACCTACAAACATTTTGTTTTTTAAATGTTACATGAGGAAAATAGTTTTAAGGGCCCCCATATGGAATATATTCCATTGCTTAAGTAATTAGTAGTTAAATTTGAACCTACTATTTTTTTTAAAGTCTACTTTGTAAATAACAGTCAAGAACTTGTCAGTTCATCGAATTTTCACGCCAGCTTTCTCTGCTACATGTATCTTAAACAGCCATGCTGGCTGATTGGGCAAAGGGCTACTTGCCAGGCTAGAAAATGTTGTGCCTACAACAAATTAACTTTTGAAAATCAAATTATATGGCTGAAACATTATGATTGGATGTTTAGAAGTAGAACATTATTTTACCATCAAAAAAGTTCATAAGAAATGTAATGAAATAAAGCCATATATTGTACCTCTCTAGGCCCTACATTTTAAACTTGCAATAATTTTAATATTAGCCCAGAGAACTATACCACACGTGTTTCAGTCCTGTGGGCAGGATCTGGGCTGTAGTGGGACTGCTTTCTTCAAAACTTGTAAATAATATTGCCCTTTGGGTGTCGAACTATGAAATCAACCCACAGTGGGAGATGTCCTGATTGGCCCTAGAAAGCAGTTTATATAACTACTTATAAATGGGCAAAGCCAGGCAGTATGAACACAATCAAAGGTGAGGCTTAGGCTTATCTAAAGAAAAACAAAATAAAAAATGCATATCAAGAAGACAGTCTAGATGGCAAAAAATAGAGGAAGTAGCTACTTATAATAATGGAATCTCTTGGCGAATGGGTCTCCCTTCCCCTTAGGGAGGTTCAGAGCAGACATTTCTAAAACCCGAAGGACAAGTAATAGTTATTCAAGTAAAAGTGATTGGAAAGTAAGGGCACCAAGTAGCTGGAATAGTGTGTGCAAAGGCTTGGGGCAGAGAGAGGCAGCAGGGCATGCTGGGGAACCTGTCCGTATTTCTGTTTGTCTGAAACACCAGGTATAAGGAGGGGAGGCGGGCAGGCTGAGCTGGGAGAGGGAAGCAGGGCCAGGTCCTCAGCCTAACCAAGAAGTTCAGAGTTGAGCCTAAAGGATTTTAAGCAGAGAGAAGCTGATAGTAAGCCGAAAGTACTATTATTGTATTGCTGATAATTTTGCATCCTTTCAAACTTAACATGGTATTCTGAGAACTTTCCATGTAATAAAAATTTACTGGAAATCACCTTTTGATGATACTTCACGCATGATAATTTAGCAATTCCCCGAGTATTAGAAATTTAAGGCACTTACATTTTTTGGTATTGAAAATAACCACCGAACATCTTTCTATATAAATTTTAGATCTCATCTCTGTTGGTTTCCTTGGGAACTTTATGTTAAAATCGCATTACAGGTAGGAACGCTTCAGACTTAAAAAAAAAAAAATGTCCATCATGTCACACCCTTGGCTAAGAAAGATTACTTTTTTCCTGTGCCTAAGTGAGTCAGGAAGAATGGCTTATTACCTTTTGAATTTACATTTCTTTCTTCCTAGTAAGACTGAAGATCTTTTCATGTTTATTAGCCATATCTTTTGTCCAGTTTTTTCACCCACTGAGAGGTGTTAATGTTTTATATATTGATAGGTAAGACTTTGTTATATATTAGACATGAATCATTGGTTCTAAACTTTTCTTCCCAGGTGGCTTCCAATCTTGTCTTTTACCAGCTACAATTTCAAAGTTTTTATTATGTCAAACTTTTAATCTTATGCTTTAATTCATTATTTCACTCAACAAATATTTATTGAACACTACCTATGTACAAGGCATTTTTTTCTAGACACATCATCAATGAATAAAATAGTAAAAGATCTCTGGCATGCAGTGCTTACATTTTAGTGACAGGAGATACACAATAAATGATAAACATAATAAATAGGTAAATTATAGTATATTAGAAAATAAATACTATGGGGAAAAATGGAGAGCAAAAGGGATCGTGGATGGGGGGGAGACGTAGTTGCAATTTTAAACTCAGTTGAATTGAAAAGGTGACTTTTGAGCAAAGACTTTGAAATGAGAGAGTTACTGTGCAGATAATCTGGGAGAAGAACATACCAGACAGTGGATAGCCAGTGCAAAGGCCCTGTGGCTGGAATGTGCCTGAAATGTTTGATCAAAGAGGTTGGAGTGAATGAGGGGGTGAATAGAAAAAGATGAAGTCAAGGAGATTAATGATGTGTGTATATGAGATCACATAGGCCATTATAAAGATTTCAGTGACAGGGAGGGTTATGAGCAGAGGATGTGATTTGACTTATGTTGTAAAGGATCACTCTGAGTGTTGTGCTAAGAATAGAATCAGTGGTAGCAGTAAAGGTGATGAGAAGTGAGTGGATTGATTCTGGATGTATTCTACAAGTGTAGTCAACAGGATTTCAGATGGATTGCATGTGGGGTGTGAGAGAAAAGAATCAAGGACGACTGCAACGGGGAGAAAAAGACTGTAAGTGGAATGGGTTTTTTTTTTTTTTTTTTTTCTGGGAATGATCCAAATTTCAGTTTTGGACTAAGCTGGAGATGTCTACTAGATGTCCAAGTGGAGATGTCAAGTAGAAGGTTGAATCTGGAGTTCAGGAGAGGTCTGGGTTAGAAGTATACATCTGGGAGTCATCAGCATAGAGAAGGTATTAAAACCTGAGAGATTAATGAGATTAAGTAGGGAGTGACACAGAGACAGGAACCAAGGGCTGAGCCCTGAGGCACTCCTAGGTCTACGGGGCCTGGGAGAAGAAGAGGGACCAACAGGAGAGGCTGAGGAGCAACGGCAACACAGGAAAGAGTGGCATCCTGGAAGCCGAAAAAGAAAATGCTGTTGACAGGTCAAATAAGATGTGGATTGTGACCTGGCCTGTGGATTGGCAACAGGAGGTCATTAGTGACGTCTGTGATTTCTTTCACTGCTTTACATATTTATATATTATGTAAATAGATTTAAATTGGTATATATTGGTGAACTATATGATACATTCATTATTTTCACAATTACTTTTCCAACACCATTTGGTGAAGAATAATCTATTTCTTTGCTACAAGCTTGTTAGTTGAACTTCTGATGAGCAAAGGTCCACATTCCTCTACCCTTGTGCATTTTGGACTCATTTACATAGAATGAGTGAATGAGATTACGGCACAAATGTGTTCTTTTAAAACATTACATCTAGGGCCACCGTGTGGCCGAGTGGTTAAGTTTGCATGCTCCACTTCCGTGGCCCAGGGTTTCGCTGGTTCGGATCCTGTGCGTGGACCTAGCACTGCTCGTCAAGCCATGCTAAGGCAGCGTCCCACACATAACTAGAAGGACCTACAAGTAGAATATACAACTATGTACTGAGGGGCTTTGGGGAGAAAAAGAAGAAAAAAAAACATTGGCAGATGTTAGCTTAGGGCCAATCGTTAAAAAAAAAAAAAATTACATCTAAATTCCTTATGATGGTAAAGCCTTAAGGAGTGCTGCAAATTATTATGATTTGCTTTAGTATAGTTTTGTTCACTTTATGCACAGGGACAGTCACACTTTTATTTAGCAACCAAGAAACTGTTACCTTCTTATCAAATGTGTAGTTTCCTCCATGGAAGCATGGAGAAAGAAAGATAAGCAGGGACATGAAATCCTTACTTCTGTTACTCAATATTTCCCTTATTTGACTTTCAGGAGGAAATGCTCAAAAACAGGTTTGAAATGATTCGATTCTCACTCATCAACATAGTGTTATCAGGACATAATATTTTCAATATTGCTACGACATTTATTTTTTAAGCACAAATTTTAAGAAGTCCAATTTCGTCCTAATTCCAAATAATTATTTCATTTTGTTTTGCGTGTTTTCAGGCAACTCAAATAGGAGAACCAAAGCCCCCAATTCCACGGCAGCATCGAATTCAACACATGAAACATCGTATGAAGCTGATGATACAATTCAAGACAAAACAGTGGACACATCACAAATAAACACTGTGTCTTATTAAAAACCCTGTGTTGGAAAAGCCCGGGAGAGAAGGAGCAATAAAAATAAAGTGTGCATTTCAAATACAGTTCTTAATAATTCTTTTCAAAAATTCGCCACTCACGAAGCAAGAAACAGCTGCATTTTTGTTCAATTAATTTATTAAACACCCACTAAGGTTTTTGATAGATTTTCATGTGCACAAGTTTACTTTTATTTGCTAATTAAGATGTTTCTGCATTACATAATACTTCAGGAGAACTTAAAGAATTTCTCAATAACACAGATAAGCAAACTATCTCAGTGAAAAACGAGAAATTTATGTCACATTACCAGCATTTCACAATTTTTGATACTTAGAGGCAGTTATTTTTATAAGAGATGGTACTGGATAGGTAAATCTCTGGGGGGAATGGTCTTATAAACTAGAGGTGGCAGATTCTTAAGTCTCTAGAAATCAACCCATGCCTTTTTTAGAGGATTTCCTAGGCACATAAACAATATATTGCCTTTATAAAAGCCAACATTCAATAACAAAATATATCACAATATATAATCTGCATAATAAATATGTTCTGCATACCAAGGGATAACTATAACAAAAATCCTTCACTGATAAAGTTCCTAAGGAATTTGTATAGTGAAAGTTATAAAACATGTTCTCTGGTCCCACCTAAGGCTACTGCAGCAATACCACTTAGACATCTAGAAATATAACTAGTTTCTGCAAATTATAATTGTCTTAAAAGATTTTTATTCATAAGTGTGATTTCAATTATAAGAACACAGACCCGGTTTTATAATGGAATTCAATAGGAAAAAGGATTAATTTTAAGTTGGCTCTGCGGAACACATCTACTGTGTTGTATAAACTTTCCATAGTTGGAAGACTAGCCTTTCAAAATGTGCCGAATACAGCTTCTCTGGTTTGATAGGGAAAAAAAAAAATGTCTTATTGCTCTCAGGCATGCAAACCTCAGGGTTAGAAACTTTTGACCATTAGGCTGTCAAAATTTCTACCAGGAATTGGGGATATCTTCCAGACCAGCACTGTCCAGAAGTTTCTGTGATGATAGAAATGCTCTTTCTACATCTGCACTGTCTGGCATGGTAGCCACTAGCCACATGCAGCTCCTGGGCACTTGAAATGTGGCTAGTGCAACTTAAGAAATCTGTTTTTATTTTATTTATTTAATTTAAATAGCCACATGTGCCTGTACTGACAGCACAGTTCCAGGTCATTATTGCAACACCCTACTGCCTGTGCTGGATTTCATATTCAAAAAAAGCACAATTTTGCCAATGCTCACATGTTAAAATTTCTTAAAATTTAAAAGTTAGGGGAAATTCAATGTTAAAAAGTTAGAGTTTTATTAGGCACTATCACCAGCAGGAATTATTATTAATTTAAATTTTAAAATAATTAAGAGGTGATGAATCCTATCTCAATATTTTAGTTTGTATGCTGGGATTAGTAAAATTCTAGATATTTTGCTTTATGTCTAAAACACCAAAATGGCTTAGAGTATGTGTGAAGTTGGAAAGTTAAAACATTTCCATCATAAAAGTGACATTTAATGTGGTCATAAAAGCAAAGAATTTTCATTTATTTTTGTGAAAGCACATAAAGCATTTGTGGGTACTTCTTGATCTTTTATCCAGCTTTGATTTAAAAGAAAAATCCCAGAAAGTTGGCTATCTTGATACACAGATACTAATAATTATACGACTAATTAGTTACGGTCTCAGGTGAAAACCTCGGTTGAGAAAGTTTAGTTAAGGCACTGGTACAGTTCTACTTTTGTTGCTCAAGGGGAAGGGCAGATGCCATAAATGACACAAGCAGCAGGAAACTTAGAGGCTCTGGGACAGCAAAAATGCTTGTGGTCCCCCAGACTCCTCCTAACCTGTGGGACAGGCATATCCGGGGCCAGGCATGGCTGGAGGCATCCTGGGTGCTCCAGCAGAGGCATCCCAATTCTCTGATGCTCTGAATATTTTTGGAGGAGTCGAGAGGAGACAAATGAGGTCAGAAGACCCTGAGATTAGTGTCACACTGGCATAAAAAACGTACTGTTCTTGGATGCCGATTGCCCAGGGAGATTAAAGCCCTGCACGAGGATCAGCTGCAGTCCTGGAAGCATCCCCGCAGAGCCCGGGCACCTGAGAGAGCCACAGGCTCATCCAGCACACCAGCTGCTGTCTATCCCTGTGGCTCTGAAGCAGCTGTGCTTCATAGATTGAGACAAAACATCAAAAGCAAGAAGGCTTATCAAATTACAGCACAGTCTGTACATTGAAAAATATATACTAACATATGACAGAATTTAAGTCAGTCAAAAATAATCTAAAATAAAATTAAAAACAAAACACATTTCCAAGTACACACATATGTATGTAATTCAGGGGATGGGTCTGATAAAGAACACAGTAGCTTTGTGTATTTAGAAGGCTTAAGTCACTGTGTAATTTTTGGTAATTATCAGATCTTAGAAAAGTGGGTCAAGAAGAAGAGTACAAATAATAGGACATAAAAGATTCAAATTATTTTCTATGTGGGCTTCCAATGAGAGCAATTTCACCTTTTAAAAATTGTGAAATTGGCTTATGAAATGGAGGCAAACCCTATAAAAGTCATTTCTTTTCTTAAAACTCTTTCTTGGTGTCTCATTGCACACAGATTAAAGTCCAAGCTCCCAAACGTGGGACTTAAGACTTCCTTCCATTGTTCCTGAGAACCAACATGGCAATCAATTCTTCCCACTTCCTGCCTCACATATTGCTTGTAATTCTTGGCACACACACACCCCAGCTTTCTCTGTTGTGGTCTTTGTTCACAGTACCCACTCTGTCAGGACCTGCCATAACTCCTACCCTCACCCTCAAACAAAACGCACTTCAGGCAATACTTTCTCTAGGTAGCCTCTTCTAACTTCTCCAGACTAGGTTACGAACCCCTCTGTGTTTCTATAGACTCACGTTCCGGTCAATTACTGCACTTATAATGATGTGTTCTGCTGTTTCTCTACCAACTAAACCATGAACCCCTTCAGGTAAGCAAATGAGTCTTAACCTCTGTATCCCCAGCACTTAGCAGAGTGTTTGCTGTGCTAGGCATTCAATAAATGTCTGTTGAAGAAAGGACTCAATGGTGTATTTATCGACATTCTTAATAACTCTTCAACCTAGTCTAATTGAAGGTGGCTAGGGTTATAGAATTTTAGACAGTGAGTGGTAAACACAGACACATACAGTTGTTTTACTCCTTACTTACTGATGTTTTGGCCTCAGAGAACCAAAGATGTAGATAGATATGTATTAAGTGTGAAGAATTGGGGATACTTCTGTGAGATTTTAGCCAACAGATGAAATGGAGAAAAGAAATAGGAAACTGTGTGGGGAGTAGGTCCACCAACCCAAAAGCAATATCCTGAGAGTGTTCCGATAATCTGGTTACAGATACAAAACTAAACATAAATTCTGTCTGCATCTACTGAAGGTGACATACATTGGGTGGTAAAGATGTCTCCTTAAAGAAGCTGAACGTGCATAACGTTTGTATTAATAAATTTAACCTTCACCATTACAGAATCCTACCTGCTTATCTGCAGTAATTTACAAAATGGATAATACTTGAATTTTACTAAAATACTGATAATCATGTATCTTAAGGACTGGAAGGGGTCGCAGAGCTAATCTGGTACAATATTTTATAGATGAAAGACACCAAGGCCAAGAGAAGCTAAATGACTGTTGAAGGTCACATAGCTAGTTAGAAAGACCAGGACTTTTGGAATTTTTACCATTAAATTCAGTTTTTCTTCTGCTATATAATGCCTGACAGGAAATTTCACTAATTTTCTCCTAAAATACATTAGTGAGCTTTGCATCCAATCCCAATAATAATAACAAGATCACTTTAGAAGAAAATTACTTTAATAAAAATAAATGAATTTTATTCAGATGAGATATTTCACAAACTATTCTCATATTATGGGAAATTTAGGTAAGAATAACTCCAAGATTGTTTCTGGGAGAAAAAAATTACTGAGCATTAAAATATTTTAATTTGTGTACTATATTACTAGTTAATGAGAGCTGGATTTTATATAAGCCTTCTGAATGATTATTAATCATGTCACCACTCAGAAAAGAAACCTAATGAGCCAATTTATAGTCTCTTCAATTAACAGAAAGAAGACTTACAAATAACTCTGTTTCACTACAATTATTATTATTTTTAGCCATGCTATACACTCAGTGGGATGAGGCCATTCTTTCTTTCGCATGTAGCATTTTTCAAAGGATTTTTTTTTTTTACTTATTTTTTCAACTTGATAACCAAAGAACTGTATTTTCATAAAATACAGTTTTCAAAAATACATAAAATACAGCAAAGGCAAAACAAACCCTTAAAAACCTAACAGCTCTGTGTTTCTCTCCAAACAACTGACTGAACTATTCAAATAAGATTTCTTTTTGAGGAGGCCGGATGATTAAATTAGGTTATAAAAAAGCTAGCAGTGTGAGTGAGAGCTTCCATGGCTGTAATGCTTGAACAGCGATGCGGGTGTGGCTTCCCTAGACTTTGAGCATGGTAAGCATGTTAGAGGAGTTACGAGGCTCTCCTCGTCTCACTGAGGCCATGCCAGGCAGCAGAGCTGAGTGAAGGAAGAATCAGTACGCCATGCCAGCCTGTGAGGTTACTTACCTGATTCCACCATAATGAATTCACCTGCAGCCATGTCTGTAGGTTCCCAATTTGAAAGCTTATAACTGTACCACAGTGAGGTACTTGTAGTCCTTGGTGCTGTGCCATGATAACTGGCTGACTTTCTATGCTCCTATGGTAGTCACTATTTAATTCACTGGGCATAAGTGATACCCAAGTATTAACCAAAGTAAGTAACACTGATCATTGTGAAATTAAAAATGTAAGACACATTTATATCTATTAATATGTTTGAAAATGCTTACTTTTATAAAATTTCCATTGTTATATAAAAGCTTTCATGATGCAACTCTTAAATTAAAAAGTACAGAATAAAATTCTTAATCCTAAATTTTTGTCACTGTTCCTAAGGTTTATGACTGAAGTAAAAGAGAGAAACCCCCCAAACTGGTCATTTATGAAACCATAAATTCAGTGTGAAATCTGCTTCAAAACTACAAATTATTTCAGACAAATAAATATACATGTTCACATTTATAAAAATTTTCCACATTACTCATAAAAACAAGTCTCATAAAATTTACATACTGCATACAATAAAAATCAGTTCTAATGAAGATTTAGCTGTTATCCTCCTAAATAAAAAGTTGTGTTTGAGGTATCACTTAGACATGCCAATATGGCACATTTGTAAAACCACCCAGGAGTCTATCCTAAAAATCCTGCCCGACACAGCATCATCTTTATGAGACTTACTAATAGGCTGAACTAGACTTGTCTTTTTAAACAATGAAGAAATATTTTAATCGTTATAAAAACAACGGAGGCAGGTACTAGAAACTGCATTTCATAAAACAGTAAAACTGTTATAAATATTTTCATTATCATCTTCCTGCCGATACTATTGATTTAAAAAGTCCTAGTCAAGACCAATAAAGCAGTTTCATCTCCCAAGACATCCAAAAAGTGGCTAGAGATTTTAAAACAACAGAGAAGAATTTCACTATCTTTATACATGATCATAGGATATAAAGCTATTAAGTTTTTCAGTGTTAAGAGCAAAGCATTATCCCCTACCTCACTTTACACTGGAAGGTGGACACTTGGTTCAGCAACACGCATTAACTGCTGGGCAGACCACCCGTGTTGACTGCAGTAAAGCCATTTACAATCAGCTTACGAAGCAATAACACTAGTCAGACACACAGAGCTACGAATACCAAAAATGATGTTTTGTATGTACAAATATCCACACTTGGATAATAAGACTGATTCAACACTTTACAGTCATATCATACTAAAAATATATTGCCAGAGGATAATGGTCCCATATATGAAAAAGATGTCTATACGGAAAAGGCTGGGATTTATTGCAAAGCATAATTATATAGCAAATTTCAAGGAAGGTCAAATAATTTTAAAAACCAAAATTTGTATTTTAATGGCTTAGGCCAAAGTCTCGGTTATTTTTTGGAGACTTCAGAACTAGTAGAGGTGGAAGAATGCTTTTCCTTTTTTCTCCTCTTTTTTTCCTTTTTGTGATGTTTCCCCTTTTTTGATTTATTCTTTTTTTCTTTTTTCTTCTCTTTCTTCTGATATTTTTGTTTCTTTTGTTTTGAAGTGTCCTCTTCAGTGGAACTGGATGAATAAGACCTATGAGCAACAATACATACTGACTGATCACTGCATTTATGGCTGGCAGGTAAACTTAAATGGGATGTGAACTGCCTTAAATCCTTCTTGGAGCAAGGTGGGGGTATAAACAAAGAAACTCAAAATGTGCTTTATATATTTGTATTCTCTTAAAATGATGAATTTAGAATTTTTGCTACTTGGTCACAGAAACCGGCAAAAGAAATCTCTCTATTCTGTTCAACTGTAGTCATGAGTTTTATATTTAGTAAGGAAGAAATGATTTCTCTGTGATTTTCAGCTTTTCATCCTGTCATACTCTTCAAAATCTTACAAGGCAAACAAAGTGGCGTCACCAAGCCTCATTGTACACACAATTCACTGTGTATGGAATAACTTTTAGCATATTCTCTTAAAAGAGCCACAAAAGGATGCAATTATATAAAAAGGGCTATAATTGTACCTCAGGATAAATGGATGAAAGCTGAACATTAGCAAAATAAAAACACTTTTGTTAATTCTTTTGATTTTTCAAGTTCAAGTACTTGATGCCTCTAGAAGCAGAGTGATACAGATGAACACTTGCAAAATAATTTTCACTAGTTACAGAAAAGATGCTTTTAAATAATACTCTATATAAATGAATGAGGATGATTTATCATTATACTTTATTTTTCTAATATTACTCTAATACTAAATTGGAAAACAAGCTGTAGAATTGCTTCCTCTAATATTAAAAAGGAAAAAAAAAAGAAATAACAAAAACTAGAAAAAGCCATCTCTTAAGATCTTACATGCAGAGATGTGCCACAATTTTCCTCCCCTAAACCCCAAATATGCGTGACAAGACAGAAACTGAATTAATTTAAAATAAAAAAAGCATCTTAAGAGATAGTTCAGTGATCTACACATTAGAAGTTAAAACCCAAGCTAAGAAGCCCTGACAGAGACACATGGGAGGAGAAAAGCGCGTGAGACTACAGGTTGTATCTGCACAATGCTTCCTGTGAAGTCCTTGACTGCCGTCCTCATTTAGGGATGCTGACTTTCCCCCGTTTCTGTAATGTTGTCTTCCCTTCTCTCCCTTGTCTGCTTCCTAGACTTCCACCATTTCTGAACTTATTTTCTCATGTATTCTCCTGCTCCCTCTTCAACTCTGTTATTCTCAACTCTTGTCTGTTTTCCTGTTTTAAAGACCCTGCTTGACCTCTGGATTCTGACCAGAGCTGCTTCTCTTCCTGCACATTTTTCTTTGCCTTTTTGGTCCTGGATTCTCACTTTTAGGGGAAAATATTCGACTTTGACATAACAACTCTATTAGGTGGCATTATCTCTGCCAAGTGTGCCCAGAAAAGTTCACTTAATTTCAGTCCCCGTCTGAGGCCTGTGAGGCCCAAGGCAGTGAAGCTTGACTAAGTAATCTGTTACTATAAACAAGAATACTAGAATTTGGAAGAAAATAGATAATCCTACTTTTCCTATAAGCAATCCACTTTGCCGTGCAAATGATTCAACAATACACTAGTCAGACTATACAATACACTGGGCTCCACCTTCCTATTATTCTTTAACTCTCAACACTTGAAAGTGACCTAACTTTTCCTATTTATAAAATTAAACGTTAAAATGTATATATTAAATGCACAGTGACAACACCTGAGTTACAGAACCTACTGTCAGAGAACTGGGGTCCAAGCCAGATATTACTATTGCCAAGTGCCTTAAAAAAATGTCAGTATGTGTATGTTTACTCTAGTATAAATGAAACTGCTCTCATCAACCATGGAAGAAGTTGCCTCTTAATTTTTGATCAATTTGTTTAACCAGTTAGTTGTTAAAAGAGTTGATACTAAAAACTCATAGGTGACTACTGAGGGTTCTGAAAGATGAGAAGGAATTTTTAGCAAGACAAGTGAATACATAAATCCTCTTAATAAATTAATTTCTTAGCCATGGCAATGATATTTTGAGAATACAAATATCTAAGCGCCAACTTCATATATATGAGGACAAAATACATATGTGAATAATATAAACATATGTCCTATTAAAAGCTTAGCTGATCTTCTAAAACGTAAAATTCTAGAATACAAATAGAATACACAAAAGAAGGGGAGAGGATTGTTATTTATCTATATCTACATTTGCTCCAAAAAGAAAATTTAAAGTGTCTGACTGTTGACTTTATTTTTGATTCCTGACATAAAGGACTTTGTTATTTTACTGAAAAAACTGAACCTCTAACTGCCACTAAGAAAAAAATTAATGTTAAATTAATGGGACTATACATGAAAAATAAAATTTTATAATCCATCCTGGATTCACAGTCTTGCTCTTTGAAAAAAAAAAGATGTTAAAAAAATACCTTTTCCTTTTCTTTTTCAACTTGATTTTCTCTTTGCTTTTTGCTTTTTTCTTCTCCTCTTCTTCATTTATTCCTGTGTGTTGAGGGGAAAGAATCAGGTTAGCATCAGTCCATATACTAATATAGTTTGTATACATTTTTTGATTTTGGTTGTTGGTTGGTGAATTTCACTGGTAAGGATACTGTACTTTTCTTGTAACAATTTTAAGATTTATTTTTATTTTATTTTACTTTTGTGAGGAAGACTGGCCCTGGGCTAACATCTGTGGCAATCTTCCTCTATATTTTTTGTATGTGGGATGCTGCCACAGCACAGCTTGATGAGCAGTGCACAGGTCCCCAATGTTTTTCCTCTTTTGAAAAATAGATTGTGGCATATATAATATTTTGTGCAACTTCTTTCTTTCATTTAACACTTTTTTGAATATTCAATTATTCTAACACCATTTGTTGAAAAGGCCATCCTTTCTACACAGAATTGCCTTTTCACCTTTGTCAAAAATCAGTTGGACTTCTGCTTCTTGGAAGATGGACTAAATGTACTTTTCCTATGCCTTCCTTTAAGTACAACTAAAACCCTTAGATATTATAAAAATAAACATAAGAAGACTCTAAAAGGTGGAAAGAAGACAGACCAGCTAGGGATCTCAAAATCCAGAGAATGAGACAGTAGTGAGTTCCCTGGAATTTCTTTTTGCTTTGTGTAGCCCGGACTTGAAGATGAAGAAGCTGGCAACCAAGCAATGTCAACAGCTACAGACAAAACTGTCCCAACAAAAGCATGCTCTCTCTAGCCAAAGGACCAAGAAAGGGACAGCCTAGTGACAGGAAACTTTTAGATAATAACTGCCTAACTCCAGCCAAACATCACAGATAAAACTATGGCAACACCTCCACCCATGCCAGCAAAGGCCGAGTGAGGAATAGATTTCCCCCTGTGAGTCTGTGATGAGGTGCCCCAACCTCCCTGCTTGAGAAGTCTAAGTAGGGAGCCAGGACTTTCATCCCCACTCACCAGTAATTAGACCTCCACTAACAATCTAACAATGTCAGTGGAAACCATATGGAGAGCCAGGACTTCCACCACCACACAGCACTAATGAGGCCCCCTCTCATTTATGCTAAAATGTTGTCAGAAGAGATTTAATGAAAGTCAAGGCTTTCACCACCACTTGCCAGTAACAAAACCAACCCTACCATGGGATACCATATAGAGAGTTGGAACTCCTACCCTCACCCAGCAGTAACAAGGAGCCATGCCCACCTTGGGTGCTGGTGGAGGCTGAGTGAGGAAACAGGTTTTCTATCTCCACCTAGCAGTAACAAGGTGTCATCCTCACTTTCCCTTCTAGGAAAATCAGATAAAACAGAAGGTCTAAAGAAAAGCCAGAGTTTAATGATATAAGATAAAAATGTCCAAATTTCAAATGAAAAGAACTCATTCAAATCAAGAACCAGGAAGACCTCAAATTGTATAAAAAATGAAGCAATCAATAGATGACAACACTTTAACGAGAGAGATATTAGAATTGTCTGAAAAAGATTTTAAAGCAGCCATCATAAAAATGCTTCAATGAACAATTATGAACATGCTTGAAACAAATGAAAAAATAGAAAGCCCCAAAGAAACAGAAAATCCAAAGAACAGAAATTTTAGAACTAAAAATACAATAAACTGAAATAAAAAGCTCAGTGGATGGGCTCAACAGCAGAACGGAAGGCACTGAAGAAATAATCACTGGAGTGGAAGACAGAACAATAGAAATCACCCAATCTGAACAATGGAGAGAAAACAGACTTAAAGAAAAGAATAGAGCCTTAGGGAACTGTGAGACAATAACAAAAGATCTAACATTTATGTCACTGGAGTCATGGAAGGTTAGGATAAAGAAGACGGTGATGAAAAAGTATTTGAAGAAACAACAGCTGAAAACTTCCTGAATTTGGCAAAAGAAAGAAACCGGCAGATTCAAGAAGCTAAGTGAATCCCAAACAAGATAAACCAAAGAAATCTATATCAAGACACATCATAATTACACTTTTGAAAACTAAAGACAAAATAAAGCAGCCAGAGAAAAATGATATGTTACTTACAGGAGTAAAACAATTAGAATGAAAGCAGATTTCTTATCAGAAAACATGGAAGCCAGAAGGAAGTGGCATAACATTTTTTAAGCCGTGAAAGAAAAGAACTATCAACCTGGAGTTCTCTACCCAGTGAAAATATTCTTCAGGAATGAAGAAGAAGTCAAGACATTCTCAGATAAAGGAAAATTAAAAGAATTTGTCACCAGCAGACACACCATATGAGAATGGCTAAAGGAAGTTCCTCTAAATGGAAAGGAAATAATAAAAGAAGGAATCTTGGAACATCAAGAAGAAAAAACACAGTAAGCAAAAATATGGGTACAATAGGCTTTCCTTCTCTTGAGTTTCTAAATTATGTTTGATGGTGGAAACAAAAACTATAACACTGCTGGGGCTGGCCCCGTGGCCGAGTGGTTAAGTTAGCGCGCTCCGCTGCAGGCGGCCCAGTGTTTCGTTGGTTCGAATCCTGGGCGCGGATATGGCACTGCTCATCAGACCACGCTGAGGCAGCGTCCCACATGCCACAACTAGAAGAACCCACAACGAAGAATACACAACTATGTACCGGGGAGCTTTGGGGAGAAAAAGGAAAAAATAAAATCTTTAAAAAAAAAAAAAAAAAAAAAACTATAACACTGCTGTCTCATGTGGTTCTCAACGTATGCAGAGGACATATTTAGGACAAGTGTATTGTAAATGAGAGAGGGTAAAGGGACATAAAGAGAGGTAGGGTTTCTGTGCTTCACTTGAACTGGTAAAATACCACTGGATTGTAATAAATGATGAATGTATAATGTAATCCCTAGAGTAATCACTAAAAATGCTACATAAAATACCACATAAAAATTAAAAAACACTATGAATATATTCAAAGACACTACAGATGAATCAAAATGAAATTCTACAAGAGTTCAAGTGACACTATTGATAAATCAAAGCACTATGGGTAATTCTAAAAAATGTGCAAGTAACCCACAGGAAAGTAGGAAAAAGAAAATAGAGGAATGAAAAACAAAACACAGAAAGCAAATAATAAAATAGCAGAGTTAGCCCTAATGTATAAATAATTACATTACATTTTTAAAAGGATATCAATTAAAAGAAATTGGCAGATTGGCTTGAAAAATATGACCCATCTATATACTGTCTACAAGACTCTCACCTCAAATGTAATGATATAGGCATGTTGAAAGGAAAAGGATATAAATGGTTATGTCACACAAACATTATCAAAGGAAAGCTAGAATGGAAAGCTAGAGCTATACTTATCAGATAAAATAGACTTCAGGACAAAGAAAATTACCAGTGAAAGAAAGGAACATTATATAATGATAAAAGTTCAACTCACCAACAAGATATAGCAATCCTAAATGTATGTGTGCCAGGCAAGAGAACTGAAAAAATCCACTATGGTAGTCGGAGATTTCAACATCCTTCTCTCAGTAATTGATAGAAACTATACATAAAGTTATCAAGGATATAGAAAAACTCAAAAACACCATGAATCAACAGAATCTAAACAACGTTTAAAAAATACCCAGAAAGAGGAGATATACACATTTTTTTCTCAAGTGCCTACAGAACATAGACCAAGATAGAATATGTCCTGGGCCATAAAGCAAACCTCAACAAACTTAAAAGAACTGAAATCATACAGAGTATATCTCTATCTTCAATGGAATAAATGAGAAATCAATGACAGAGAGATAACAGAAAAATCTCCAAACACTTGGAAATAAAATAACACACTTTTAAATAATCCATTAAGCAAAAAGGAAGTCGCAAGGAAAATAAGAAAATACATTGAGCTGAATGAAATTGAAATATAACATATCAAAATTTGTGCAACACAGCTGAAGCAGTGCTGAAAGGGGAAACTCAAGCACTAAATGCTTACAATAAAAAAGAACAAAAGTCTCAAATTAATCATCTAACCTTTCATCTCAAGAACCCAGGGGAAAAAAACCTAAGTAAACCCAAAACAAATAAAAGGAAGAAGATAAAGAACAGGAATTAATGAAATTAAAAACAGAAGAAAAATTAAGAAAAACAATGAAATAAAGCACTGGATCAATAAAGCTGACAAATCTCTAGCAAAACCATGAAAGAAAAAAATACAATATCAGGAATAAAACAGAGGATATTACTATAGACCCTGCAGACATCAAAAGGATAAGTAAAGACTATGAACAAATCTACAAATATAAATTTGACAACTTACACAGTACACAACCCTTTCTCAAAAACACAAATTGCCACCAGTCTTCTAACATGAAATAGGTAATTTAAATAACCCTTTAACTATTAAGGAAATTGAATTTATAATCAAACCCCACCCCCAAATCTCCAGGTCCAGAAATTTCACTGAAGAATTCCATCAAACATTTAAAGAATTAACACCAATTTTACACAGTCTTATCCAAAAAATAGAAGAGAATGAAACTCTTCTCAATATTCCACAAAGCTAATGTTACTCTGATACCAATATCAGACTAAAACAGTACAAAATAAGAAAACTGCAGACGAATAACTCTCATGAATATAGGTGTAAAAATCCTTAACAAAATATCAGCAAATAGAATATTTCAAAAATCAATTAATGTAATCCACCATATTAACAGGTTAAATAAGAAAAATCATAAGATCATACCAATCAATGCAGACAATGTAGTTGGCAAAATGTGACACCCAGTCATGACAAAAACTCTCAGAAAAAACAGGAATAGAGGAAAACTTCCTCAACTTGATAAAGAGCAGCTACAAAAAACTTACAGCTAACAGTACACTTAATAGTGAAAATCTAAAAGCTCTTGTCCCCTAGGACTGGAATCCAGGTAAGGAGGTCATCTCTCACCACTCTTTGTCAACATAGTGCTATAAGTTCTAGCCACTGCAAAAAAGCAAGAAAAGGAAATAAAAGCCTTATAGATAAAAGGTGAGAAATAAAACTGTTACTCTTTGCAGATGACATGGTGGTTTACAAAG